GAATTCTGTTCTTCTTAAATAGTTTCTATCTGTGGAAATACTTAGATTAGTTAAGCAGTGTGCATTAAATAAAAATCTGTATTAGTTTTTTTTTAATTTTTAGAATTTGTAATAGGGACAAAGACAAGAGCCAGAAACAGCCTGAAAAGAAAAGAAAATTCTTAAAATTTTAAAAAGTTTATCTGGGAAAAAAAAAAAAAAAAGTACTTTAAGTGTGTGTGTGTGTGTGTAGTTAGCTGAAAGTCTTTTTCAAGTGAAAAATGATTGAGGTTTGCAAAGAATGTAAGTAATTTTCATGCCAGATCTTTAATCCCAAATATTCAAGGGTAGCCAAAGTACTGCATTTTATGACACAGTACTTAAACTTCTTTGAATTAATTGTGTAGTCAACTGTGGCATTCCATGATCACTAGATAATGTTTTCTTTTTGGCCTTCAATTATACTTTGTGGAAACTTAGTACAAAGTCCAGGAAGTTGATGTGTTCTTAGCAGTGCAACTTCTACTGAGTCAGTTGGAAGATCAGTTCATGATTTCTACTTTTTAAAGTGATTTTACTCTTTTGATTGAAGTATGATTCCCCCCTCCCTGTTTGGAAAAGTAAATATTCTGACCCCTTTTAAATGTACAATTCCATTTTAGTGACGTTCAGAATAGTTTATCTAATGAATCTGGAAAGATTTTGCTAGAACTGACATTGTTGACAGTAAAAAGTCAGCCAGTTTTCTGTAGTGTCAAATTTCAGTCTGAGAAACTATGGAATTTACATGGTTTTGTCTCACAAGTTAATAAGTCGGTTTGCCAATTCTTAAAGACCCAAGCACTGGAGATTCTGCCCTGTTGGAAATCATGAGCAGAGACCTTACATAGTATAATAAAATTTGCCCCTTTAGGTTAGCTTTGTGTTGTAGGCAAGTGGTCTGACTCTTTTATATCATACTAGAGGCCCGGTGCACGAAGTTCATGTCCCTCAGCCCAGCCTGTACCCTCTCCAATCTGAGACCCTTCGAGGGATGTCTGACTGCCATTTCCCAACTGCTCTCCTGCCTGCCTTCCTAATTGCCTCTGATCGCTTCTGCCTACTGGACTGATCACCCCATAACCACTCCCCTGCCAGCCTGATTGATGCCTAATTGCTTCCTTGCCAGCCTGATTGCCTCTAACTGTCCTCCCCTGCAGGCTTGGTCACCCCCAACTGCCCTCCCTTGCAGGCCTGGTCCCTCCCAACTGCCCTCCCCTGCTGGCCTGATCCCTTTCAACTTCCCTCCCCTGCTGGCCATTTTGTGGCAGCCATCTTGTTTCCACATGGGGACAGCCATATTTGACCACATGGGGGCAGCCATCATGTGTGTTGGAGTGACAGACAATTTGCATATTATTCTTTTATTAGATAGGATAGAGGCCTGGTGCATGGGTGGGGGTGAGCTGGTTTGCCCTAAAAGAGTGTCCCAGATCAGGATGAGGGTTCCCTTAGGGCGTGGGGTGGCCTGGGCGAGGGGCCTGTGGTGGTTTGTAGGACAGCCACTCCCCCTGATGACCCAAGTGGAGGCCCTGGTATCTGGGATTTATTTATCTTCTATGATTGAAACTTTGTAGCCTTCAGTGGAGGCCTGGGCCAGACAGGGTGTGCAGGAAGCTTGGCTTTCTCCATTGCCAGGAAAACCCTAGCCTCCTCCTTGCTCTGTGTCTGTAGCCATCTTGGTTTAATTTGCATACTCGCTCCTGATTGGCTGGCGAGTGTGAACTTGTGGGTGTAGAGGAGGCATAGTCAATTTGCATATTGCTCTTTTATTAGATAGGACTAGAGGTCCAATGCTTAAAAATTCATGCACTTTGCGGGGGTCCCTCAGCCCAGCCTGCCCCTTCTCATAGTCTGGGAGTCCTCAGGGCGGGAAGTGACCTGGCAATCAGGGGAAGGTGACACCCCCATCACACCTCTGTTGCTGCTACTGTTGGCAGCACAAGCTTTGGCCAGCCCTGGTTACCTGAGCCTCGGGTGGCCCTGGGCAGCTGGGCAGTTGATATCTGAGGCTTGCCTGTGCCTCGGGCCAGCTCAAGCACCTAGGGGGCTGAGGGGACTGGGTGCTGCCATATTTGAGGGCATGACACTCAATTATATTCCCTCCTTATTGGCTGTGGGCACCACCATCTTTGTGAGTGCATGACAGTCAATTAGCATATTCACTCTTTATTAGGTAGGGTGTAACTCTTTTTAAAACTAAATATATTTATTGATTGATTATTTATTTATTTATTTATTTTTTTAACAGAAAGGAAGGGAGAAGGAGAGGGATAGAGAGTTAGAAACATTGATGAGAGAGAAACATCAATTCAGCTGCCTCCTGCATACTCCCTACTGGGGATGTGCCTGCAACTAAGGTACATGCCCGTGATCAGAATCGAACCTGGGACCTCTCAGTCCGCAGGCTGACGCTCTATCCACTGAGCCAGACCGGTTAGGGCTGGGTGTAACTCTTTGTGTGGTAAAAGAAATCTTGGAAGAGTGAAATAGACATAGATTTGTGAAGCAAATATTAAGAGGTATTAACAAGTAAGAGCCATTCATTCATTTATCAACCTTTACTATAAAAGCCATAAGAGAGAAGGCTAGGGTTTTTTTTTCTGTCCTTCCTCTTTCTTACATCAGTTTTTTTCTTGGAATTTTTTTTTTTTTTAAGATGGATGACCATTGTCATTCCCTACTTTATATACTGACAAAATGTGGTACAGAATGAGAAAGGAAAAACAAACTCACTAGGAAACATTTTTAAGTATTTCCAGCATATCTAAAACAATAAGATACTTTACAACTTATAAAAACTTGACTGTTGGGTTTAGGCAGAACCATCAAATAACACCTCTCAACACTTCCGAGTTTGAAATCAACAGAAAAAAAGACATAGGATACAGACAACTGGGACTTCACAACATCAGCTTTAATATTGATGAAATCCAGATGGAAAGACATGCCTTTGGCTGCAGTGGGCCTCCTAATACTTCACCTGATTTAAACTTATCCAGCTAACACAGCAAGGCCTTTCCTGTGGGAACAGGGGACAGAGGAGTGCAGAGGACACCAATTTAGCCTCATATTAGGACACAGAACAAACTGATTCCTCTTTGATATTAGGCAGCAATGTCTGGCACCAAATTTCAGCTCACAGATGGGAATGAATAGGGAGCTGAGAGAAGCTAGGAGTGTCCCTTCCTTCTGCCCCTACCCCAAGACTGAAAGAATACAGAATGAGAATGACCCTTACCCCCATCACTGCCATATAAGCCTCATTCAGAGTCAAGCTCTACCTCTGCGATATAGAGAGAAAGAATGGTCTTCTCTCTCATGGGTGCTTGAACACATTTGGTTTGTTTTGCTAAGAAGCTTTTAGTATTGATTTAAGTGTAAGAAATTTGAATATTTGGGGCTATAGGAAAAAGGGAAGTGTGTGTGTCTGTCTTCAGCCCCCACATTTATTTGCATTGGTATTTCTACTTCACCATTCCCCTGATAGTGGATGGGGGGGGGGGGGGGGGGAGAAGGGATGGTGCATTAAAAGGACAGAGTATTACACATTATTGGCTTATTTATGTAACTTTTCATTGGGTTTTCCCCCTCAAAATGTAATAAAGTAGATTCCCTTTCTAGGTTAATCAGTAAAGCCCATTTAATCTGTAATGTCATTTTATTTTTAATTAAATTTTATTGATTTGTTTTAGAGAGGAAGGAAGAGAGAGACGCATCGATTTGTTGTTAAACTTATTTATCCATTCATTGTTTGATTCTTGTATGGGCTCTGACCAGGGATCGAACCTTGCAATCTTGGCACATCCGAATGACATCTAACCAACTGAGCTACCCTGCCAGGGCCTGTAATTGGAAAAATATTTTAAAATTACTTTTTATTGCAGATGTATGCCAGTTAGCTACATTCTAAGTCATTTTTGTGGCAGGACATAAACTGAAAACCCAATCCAAAATGTCTTTGTGGCATAAGAAATTAATGTGAAACATTATCTGATGGCCTTTCTTAGTAATTGGATACCTGTGAGCTCATATTTCTTTTATGGAAATTTCTTATAGTAACCAAAGTCTTTTAGATATGAAAATTTAAAGTATTGACTTTGTTTTGTTTTTTATTATTTAATGAGAATTTAAACCTCATGATGATGCATATTGGAACAAGGTTTTCTTTTGAGGTTATTTCTTTCTTTTTCTTTTCTTTTTTATTCTTTTCAGTGAGAGATGCTTTTCTTCTTAGTTATATACTTTTTTGCAGTAAGTTACTTTGTACATACCCTGTCCTAGAAAAAAATAGTTTACATATGCCTGTATTATGACAGTGAAGGGTCAGTAGATGCCCTTTTATTACAAACAGTATCAAATTATTACTGAAAATCACTAAATAGCATTTTCCCAAAAGAGTGTTAATCCTTTACATTTTTCATACAGGTTCTCTTTAGCTTTGTTGTTCTCAATTTCTTGTCTTTTTTGTCAAGTGCATGCATGTATATTCAATTCAAGTCATTTTATAGGTGATTTGAAGCAAATATTTACATCTTATTTAAAGCTGTCATTTTCTCTCCAATTTATCTCTCTAATGTCTTTTTTGATGACTTTTCTAATCTATCTATACAGGCAGATATTTTTAATTGATACTTGATAGTATAATGAAAGTATAAATAGTAGAAATAATTTTAAAGTTATTTTGTGTTTGTCTTGGAAGTGCCGTATTTTCTGGCGTATAAGACGACACTGTGTTCTAGTAAAAAGCCTGCTCAGATTGGCCAGAGAGGCGGTCTATTAAAAAAAAGAACTGGTGTTGCCTCGGAAGTGGGGGGTAGTCTTATACAGCGAATATAGGCCTAAACCTATGTTTTAAGTGTAAAATTAGGAGGTCGTCTTATACGCCAGAAAATACGGTAAACTTACTTTAGAAATTATTATTAGGTAGTTCCCTAGTTATCATAAAAAAACATAATTCATGTAACTTTTCTATATTTCAGAAACCTTTTTTCAAAAAGGACAAAGGAACTCAAATCAGTTGTTCATAGTGCTCCTGGTTGGAAATTATTTGGTCAAGTTCCTCCCAGAGAGAATCTTCAGAAAACTTCGAAAATTATTCAGCAGGTAAGTACTAGCATAGCCATGTGTTTTATCTTAGTTTTTCAAATATATTTTCTTTATAATTAACCATGTCCTACTTTCATTTATATTTTTATACATATGAAATTTTGGAATTATAGATATTTGTAGCAACCTTAATATATTTTTAAAACATGACACATTTTCAATTACCTTAAGGTTGTGAAAATTCTTTTTTTTTTTTTTTAATATATTTTTTATTGATTTTGTACAGTGAGGAAGGGAGAGAGATAGAGAGTTAGAAACATCGATGAGAGAGTCATCGATCAGCTGCCTCTTGCACACCCCCTACTGGGGATATGCCCACAACTAAGGTACATGCCCTTGACCGGAATCGAACCCGGGACCTTTTAGTCCCCAAGCCGACGCTCTATCCATTGAGCCAAACCGGTTTCGGCTGAAAATTCTTGAAAGTAATATAATACTGTTTTTGTTTCCTAGTTATTCCTTGGATAGCCTTTTGTTATCATTGTTGTTAGCTAACTACTCTCATCACAGACTTTGACTTCAAATCGAACATGGTAGCATTTGCCAGTGGCACAGATTTTATGGAGATGGGTGGTTGTGAACTTATAAAATAGTAAAAAGAAAAACGGAGTAGAGATTGAGGTTGAACTCTCTCTATAATTACTTTTCTGGTGTTCTGTCTAAACCAAGGACTTTGTGAGATGAGTGATTATATAATCTTTTTTAGTAGTTTAGAAGCTAATACTCTTAATATCTGTATTAATATTTCTATCCTTGAGATTTAAGAATTTCAGGTCTTACTTGACTCCTAAATTTGTGCTCCTCAGTACTAGGAGATCGATGAGACTGGAAAACAGCAAGACTGGATCAATTTGTAGCATTTTTATTTTTTTTTTTTAAATATATTTTATTGATTTTGTACAGAGAGGAAGGGAGAGAGATACAGAGTTAGAAACATCGATGAGAGAGAGTCATCGATCAGCTGCCTCTTGCACACCCCCTACTGGGGATATGCCCGCAACCAAGGTACATGCCCTTGACCGGAATCGAACCCGGGACCCTTCAGTCCCCAAGCCGACGCTCTATCCATTGAGCCAAACCGGTCCCGGTATTTGTAGCATTTTTAAATTAGGAGAATTTGTTGCTCAGGAGATATATAATAAATTTCCTATTTACCTGCTTCCCAATTACAGTTTATCAGATTTAACATAACCAGCATTATAAAAACAATGACAGTAAGGCAATAATCATCATTCAAATTGGAAAAATACCTTCCTTTAAGCATTTAATAGTGTTCCTTTTATTGCTCAAAAGATTGTTCCCAAAAATAATATAAGAAAATAATTTTTAGATCTTTAAAAACATTACTTACAGTTAATTTTATTTACAATTAATTAAATGTTGACTAGTTTAAATAGCTGCTGGAACTTAAAACTATGCTGATTCCCAAAGTGTGTACTGAGGCACCCAGGTGTTTCAGCTAATGGGGGAACCATGGCAAATTCAGTGATACTACACATCTGTCAGATATGGTAGACTTTTAGTTTGAAGTAGTATGCAATTTCAACATTAAATGGCACTATATTCTTTCCATATTTTTGTGAATCTAATTTTTCTGAGGATTTTGTAAAAATCAGATACTGTGCAAAGTAAGTGTGGGACAGAAAAAGTGAGGGTGATACTATCTAATCGGATTTCAAGTTTTGAGAAATTATACAGTATACATGCTCAGTTAGTAGTTGTGGTTATTTAGGAGTGAAATAAAACTCTTTTTCTTTAATTTATGTGTATCATGTTTTCAAATGGCTACTAAGTGTTAGGATATAAATTCTATTAAATTATTAGATATAACTACTATAGTTATTAAACAGAATTATTAGATATTTTTGTTAATTTGGGAAGGCTTGATGAAAAAATTATTAGGAGACTGAGGGCACTGTTAACCAAGAAAATTTGTGAATCTTTGCTATCTAAGATTTTAAATTTTAACTTTTTTTCCTAAAGTCTGAAAAGAACCTCTGTCAAGTTTTTCAGAAGGCCAAGTTCGCCCCCTAGAGGCAAAACAGTGGTCTTGATATTGAAGGTTTTGTATTTCTACTATATGATAATTTACCTTAAAAGTGCATGTGCATACACTTTTATGTCTTTATATAAAGTAACATTCTGAAATATCTTCTCGTAGGTGTCTAAATAGATTATTGGGTGGATAATGACCTGTTTATTGATATTCTGTATGCCTTTAATTTGCTTGCTTTATTTTGGAAAGCCATTCTCTTTTGCATATATATTATGTGAATATTTGATGACTGGCCAGGAAAAGAACAACTCTTATTTTCATAGGGGAAGAAAGAGTGGAGTTGCTGTCCTTTACAGCCCCTTCTCTGGCTTTTTATAGATGGTGATTTCTCCAGCTACTACTTTTAAGTTTTGAACTTTCAAGTTGTGTGTAGGTACTAGTGTGTATTTTGGTGCCTTTTTTATGGGTCTCTTTATCTTGGGGAGGTGTGATAGATGGTGAAATTGTTCCTCTGATCCTTTATACCCGCAAAATATGTATTTCTTTCACCATGTGATAGGACTTGTTTCTGCCTCTCCCTTTCTGCTTTCTCTTTCCCTACTTCTGTGTGTGTCTTCTGCTCTCCATTTGTCTAACTTTGCTGTCCTCTTCCCTGCAGTTGTCATTTTCAAGAAGGGCATTATTTTCTTTCATTAATAACAAGTGGCCCAGTGCACAAATTTGTGCACATTGAAAGGAAATTAATTAGAAGAAATATTTTAATATTGCTATTTGCCCTTTATAATAGAAGTGTCAACCAAATTGATTGACAATGTCAGATTGAAACATATGCATGCAATTGGCACCAGAGAGAGCTTTATCTGTATCATGCATGCACGAGTCAACTTAGTTTTTTATATATATAGAATAAACTTGCTTAATTAGACCTGCTTTCTGATGTAGCTAAACTATTTCCAGCCCAGTGAAGCACCCCAGCTTCTCTTTCAGGTAATTTTCAGCAACACAACAATAAATAACAACACGAAGCATATTATTGTAGATCATGCAGGGAAAACAAATGGTAAAATATTTATAGTGTTTGACTATATTCTGCACAGTGAGAAAACTTGAAGTCATTTTCAAGGTCTACAATGTCTTACTTCTTTTTAGTCGGGCCAAGTTTCTAAACTTTCTCAATCTCCATTTTCTGGCTAACTAAAAGAAAATAGGATTCCATCGAGTCTCCTATCTACCTACTCCACTACTTCTGTGAGAATCAAATGAAATGAAGCATGGGAAAATGCTTCACAGACATTTGGTTGAAGTGTGAAATGTTTCCACCTGGCTATAAAGCAAGTCATGTTCCTGGGCTGAAGAAACTGCAAGGAGGCTAGTTGTTGCTAGGGAGAGGAAGCTGGGCATTTCTGCATGATGTCATTACCCGGATGGACACTTAACATATTAGCCATATATATATATATATATATATATATATATGTGTGTGTGTGTGTGTGTGTGTGTGTGTGTGTGTGTGTGTGTATGTATATATGTATATATATGTATATGTATATATGTATACACACACACACACACACACACACACACACACGAGGCCTGATTACTCGAGAGGGGTCCCTTAGCCTGGCATGCGCCCTCCTGTAGTCCAGGAGCCCTCAGGGGATGTCCGACTGATGGCTTAGGCTCGCTCTACAGGGGAAGCAGTCCTAAGCATCGTCAGACATCCTTAGCACTGCTGCGGAGATGGGAGAGGCTCCCACCACTTCTGCTGTGTTCGCCAGCTGTGACCTGGCTTCTGGCTGAGCAGCACTCCCCCTGTGGGAGCATACTGACCACCAGTGGACAGCTCCTGCATTGAGCGTCTGCCCCCTGGTGGTCAATGTGCATCATAGTGATGGGTTGTTCTGCCATTCAGTCGATTTTCATACTAGTATTTCTCTGTTCCTACCTGAAACATTTTTTAACAGCCCTGCCTGACTTTTAAACTCCGTAAAACTATAGTAATAAAAGCATAATGTGCTAGCCCTAACTGGTTTGGCTCAGTGGATAGAGCGTCAGCCTGTGGACTCAAGGGTCCCAGGTTCAGTTCTGGTCAAGGCCATGTACCTTGGTTGCAGGCCATCCCCAGTAGGGGTGTGCAGGAGGCAGCTGGTCAGTGTTACTCTCTCATCAATGTTTTTAACTCAATCCCTCTACTTTCCTCTCTGTGAAAAATCAATAATATATATATATTTTTTAAAAACACAGCATAATGTGCTAATTAGACCGCTCTTCCTTCTGGATGACCTTCCGGACGAAGCCAGGGCTGCGAGGGAAGCCTCTGTCCCGGGTGCCTGCCAGTGGCTGGAGGGAAGCTTGGGTTCTGGGTGCCAGAGGGAACCTAGTGCTGGCAGCTAGGGAAAGGAAGGCCTACTTTTGCACAAATTTCATGCATTGGGCCTCTAGTTATGAATATAAAATTGTTTTTGAGATCCTTTACCACAACTCTTTTCAAATGGATGTTATTTATTGGGAATCAGAAATAAAAAATGACGATGTTGTTAGTAAAGCCATGAAAAATGTTAGGACATATCTGTCATGTTTTAGGGTAGAGTCTTAAGTAGTAAGGCTGTAGAAAAATGAAGGTAGCTAGTAATTCCAGTAAAAATCTGCCTGAAAAAGTGAACAATGCCAAAAGTACTATGGAAAAGTAAATTCCTTTGAACTTTTTAAAGTCGTCTTACTTGCTTTTTGAATGACAAAACATTAAGATGTAATAGGAGATTAGAATATTAGTATTATTTTTTTTCATTTTTTTATTAAGGTATTATATGTGTACATATCTTATCATTGCCCCCCACTCAAATACATGCCCTCCCTCCCACTAGTATTATTTTATAGAATAATTATTTTAAAGCAGATATTCAGAAAGTAGTTATCATATTTTTAAGTATTTGTATGATTATGTATTGGGCCAGACTTTTTTCCAGTGGAAAGACATAGATTATAAAATAATTATATAGAA